AAGACAGGGGAGGAGGGGGCGAGGAACCTCTGCTTGCCTGGGTCCAGCTCACCAGTCAGTCACCGCTCCCATGCTCTCAGTGACCTCCTCCAGCAGGTGGCTAGCTAGCTAGACAGGACAAAGAACAAGAGGGAGAAAGGTTATTCTCCGAGTTAAAAGAGCATCAGAACAGGAATACCTCTCACTTTATGATACTGTGTCACTGAATGCTACCCTCTTTGCCACCTGAAAGCCTCTCAGAGTCATTACTGAGAGTGTTAAGTGAGGACAAGAGTGGAAGATAATAATGATGAGTGGAAAATAATAGAGCCCTGCACTTCAAGCTGCTTTTTCCAGTGGGGGTGGTGCAGAACAGACCCTTGGCTGTCCCCACCATCCTTCTCCAACCCTGGCTGGCCTCGTGGTCCTCAGCGGCTGTTTTTGTCCTCTTGGTCTTGACCCTCATGCCTTTAGCCACCCATGGCGCAGTTTCCTGCTTGACCCACCTACATGCCCGATTGAGCTGATCTTTGTCTATATTTAGAAAAACTCGAGTCATCAACCTGTAGCTACATTTCCCCCAAAGGTCCCCTTTAGTCTGTTCTAGGCGTGGTGTTTCTTACTGTTTCCTTGTCAAATTTTAAAGGATTCTGGATAGCTGAGGTCCTGCCCCAAAGGCAGGAGTCATGGGACTCAGGATGTTGGACACAAACCAAAATGATCTTTTTGTGTGAGCTGACCCGTACCGGGATAGTTCTCCCCGACATTCGAGGCACAGCATCTTCTCTGGCCTTGTTACTGAGATATTTGAGGAATTTATGTATGGATGACTGTTTCTCCTTAAACCAGGTTTCTCAACCTCAGCACTCTTGATATTTTGGGCATGGCAATCCTCAATTTGGGGAAACTGTCTTGTGTGTAGTAGAATGTTTACCAGCGTCCCTGGCCTCTCTCCATCAGATGCCAGTGGTTTTTCCCATGCTGTGATAAGTGAAAATATCTCCATACATTGCCAGAGTTCCCAAGAGGGCAGGAACGCTCCGGATGAAGAACTAACACCAAGAACTCACGAGCATACGTATTTATACCTGCCTAACTCTGTTCGTTTTTAACCACTTTAGACACGTTTTTAAAAATGCGCTGTTAATAAGGTTTTTTAAAAGGCGATGTGGGAGTACCCCCTCTCATAATGTTTACTGCACCTTTAATTAAGACTCCAGAAACGTGTACGTGATACCTTTGTAGCACAACTAGAAAGTGATGTTTCAATTTGGATGCATTAATACTGAGTTGCACTGTCTCATTTTTACCAAGAAAAATGTCCCATTTTATTTGAAGTGACGAGTGATGAGTTTATCCTTAGAGTGAAAGGTGTCTGACTTCACTGGAGGGGACACATCTAAGCACAGGGAGGAGATGTAATTCAGACCCACTGAAGGACCTTGTCCACACATGTGTCATGGGCTCTGTCTACCTGAATTTACCTCAAGCACCACATGAATTTCCAGATCACTCTTGGGGGCTGCCCTACCTGCCCCTGTCTTCCCTGGAGGTACCTCAGAGCCTGCAAATCTCCCAGAGGGGTTCAAAGCAGATTCCCAAGTTCAAGTGGATGGAGCCCCAAAACCTTGATTCCCACTTGATCGTGCTGACCATTCAGTCATGTCTGTCTCGGGACTGAGTTATTTTCATCTGAATGCACTCTTAAGCCCTCCAGTGGTCACCAGATGCCCTGAAAATGAGACCCCAGTGCCTGCCTCTGGCCAACAAGGCAGGCCTCCCCCCATCTGGCCTCTGCATTATGCTCTGCCCTCTCCCTGTTGCTCGCTGTGCTCCAGCTGCATTGGCTCTCTTGGGCACCTCAAGCTGGCCATATTAGTTCTACCTCAGGGCCTTTGCACTTGCAGTACCCACTCCCTGGACTGTTCTTCCTCGAATATTTTTGAGATATGGCTGACTCCCTCCCACTTGGGCTGCATCTTAAATGCCACCCCCTCTGAGAGGTCTTCCCTCACTGGGACTCCAAGCTACCACTGCAGCCCACTCCCCATTGTCCTGATTTCTGCTGCCCATATTTGAAACGACCCCGTTACCATTTGCATGTTTATCATTTGTTTCCCTGCACGTAGAATGTAAGTTCCATGAGAATAGCGGAAGATCATTGCGTGGGAACACAGGAGGCTCTGGGCTGCATGTAGTCCAAGTGCTTTCCGCTGTGGTTCCACTGTGGTAGCACTGTGGTTTCGGCTCAGTGAGGAGAGGGTTGTTGGTGCTTAGCACAGAGGGAGTGGGCCATGCTACATACTGTGGATTTGCCTATTTGGCTATTTCCTGTAAGTGGAATCATATGACCGGTGCCCTATGTCTGGCTTGTTTTGCTCAGCATCATGCTTTCCGGGTTCATCCATGCCCCACTATGTATCAACCCTTCATTCCTTTTATGACCAAATAATACTCCGCCATATGCATATACCCCTTGTAATTGATCCATTCATCAGTCGATGGACACTGGAGCCCTTTGCACCCTTAGGCAGTTGTGAGTAGTGCTGACATTCTCGAGCATGCACATGTTTTTCTTGGATGATCTCTTTTCAGTTATTTTGGATGGCATTGAGTAGTCTTATTGGGCCTTATGGTAACTTGGTTTAATTTATTGAAATACTGCCAAGCTTCAGCACAGAGCCGCCCCATTTTATGTTTCTACCAGTATGGCACGAAGCTTCCCATTTCTGCCTGGGCTCACCATGCTTCCCAGCTCACCGATACTTCTTTTCTTTCTTTCTTTTTTTTTTTTTTTTTTAAAGATTTTATTTATTTATTGAGAGACAGAATGAAATAGGGAGACCGGGAGCATGGGGGGAGGTCAGAGGGAGAAGCAGACTCCTCACTGAGCAGGGAGCCCAGTGTGGGACTCGATCTTGGGACTCCAGGATCATGACCTGAGCCGAAGGCAGATGCTTAACCGACCACCCAGGTGCCCCACCGATACTTATTTTCTGATCTTTATTATTACTCCACTTGCCATCCTAGTGGATGTGACTGTGGTCGCTCCCAGTGGCTTTGATTTGGATTTTCTTCATGACTCATGATGTTTAGTGTCTTTTCATGTGCTTGTCAGCCATTTTCTATCTTCCTTACAGCATGCCTTTATTTTATACTTATTTTCTTTGCATTGTAACTGCATGTGAACACTTCTCTCCCTTTCTTGACCATAAACTGCCTCATTTATTTATTTTTTTAAAGATATGATTTACTGATTTGAGAGAGAGAGAGGGAGAGAGCACAAACAGGGAGAGCAGCAGAGGCAGAGGGAGAAGCAGGCTCTCCTCTGAGCAGGGAGCCTGACATGGGACTTGATCCCAGGACCCTGGGATCATGACCTGAGCCAAAGGCAGACACTCAACTGACTGACCACCCAGGCGCCCCAAGCTGCCTTGTTTATAAAATGGGGTTAAGACACTTCTTCAAAGAGACTGACTTTTGGTAATTAAAGCATTGTTCAAATCTTTGTTAACCTAAGTCTGAAATCATTATCTTTTTTTTCTCCTTACCACTATCCCACTTTAAATTTTTTTAAAGATTTTTATTTATTTATTTGACAGACAGAGATCACAAGTAGGCAGGCAGAGAGAGAGAGAGAGAGAGAGAAGAGGAAGCAGGCTCCCCGCCAAGCAGAGAGCCCAATGTGGGGCTTGATCCCAGGAACCCGGGATCATGACCCGAGCTGAAGGCAGAGGCCTTAACCCACTGAGCCACTCAGTGCCCCCCACTTTAAGTAAGTTCCATGCCCAGTGTGCAGCCCAACACAGGGCTTGAACTCATGACCCCGAGATCAATACCTGAGCTGAGATGAAGTGTCAGATGCTTCTACCAACTGAGCCACCCAGGCACCCCTTTATTTTAAAATGCAGCTTATACGGGCACCAGGGTGGCTCAGTTTATTAAGCATCTGCCTTCCACTCAGGTCATGATCCTGGAGTCCTGGGATGGAGCCCCGCATCAGGCTCCCTGCCAAGCAGGGAGTGGGCTTCTCCCTCTCCATCTGCCTCTGCTTGTATTCCCTCTCTCACTGTCTCTCTCTCTCTGTCAAATAAATAAATAAATAAATAAATGAATGAATGAATGAATGAAAGAAAGAATGAATAAAATGCAGCCCATAAACCTTAGGTTGATTTTCCAAATTGGCACATTTAATTTGGTTTTGATTTTCTGAATTTTTACCTCTCTGAGTCTAATCTGTCCTTGTATGCCCCAAATGTTCAGGTTTTAAACTTACTTTAAGGTACTTTTGTGTCTTAGCTAATACAGTATCTAGGCAGGTATTTGACTTTCTGATGTTTTAGAGTAGGCAGGTGGCTGTTGAAATAGTTTTCATTACAACGTTGTTTTTTTCTTTTTTCCGTTTTCAGAAAAAGTTGCCTTTGACAACGCTGGCTCAGTGTTTGATGGAGGGGTCAGCTATCCTGGGAGATGACACACTTCTCGGGTAGGTGACATCATGCGTGTTTTTACGCCGAATCCAGGTAAGCCCCTGTCCCTGAGAGGGGGGCCAGAACTTCTCAGGGATGCATTGAGGACACCTGAAGACTGGTTGGGGCTTGGGTGGGAAGACAAAAAGGTTTGCTGGTGAGAAAAATCAAAACCCCAGGCTCCAAAGTCATATTGGCTGTGCAGGGAGGCAGCTTTCCTCGGGAGGGGAAGTTAGCATAATAAACACAAAAAATGGGTTGAAGGACAAATGAAATCCCTAGGGCTGCAGAAGAAGCAAATGGGAAACCTCAACATGTCAGATGTCAAAAATTATAGGATTCCCAGAACAACCCCGGGCTACATCTGAGCTCACAATAAAAACACACTAAAAATAGAATGGTCGTGAGGGAGGATCAGCGAGACACGATCGGCAGGAGAGGTGGCAAGAACTAAAAATAGTGCAGAAATAGGAAAGAACATATGAAGTAATAGATATCAATATGCATGAAAGAGCTATGCTTAAAATGAAGTTTAAAAATTAAGTGAGGACAGCGCCTGGCTTAGCAGCACATGCACTAAAATTGGAACAGTAGACATTAGCATGGCCCCTGAGCGTGGGTGACAGGCCAATGTGTGAAACGCTCCATATTTTTAAGGAAAAAAAAAATTCCTGTTGTAACTGTGTAAGGTGATGCGTTAATTAGATGTATCATGGTGCTCATTTCACAATATGTGCAAATATTGAATCCTCCACTGTACACCTGAAACAAATGCAATGTTACAGCCAGTTACAAACCTCCATTGAAAAGTAAAGACAAGGGATCCCTGGGTGGCTCAGTCCGGGAAGCCTCTGCCTTGGGCTCAGGTCATGATCCCAGGGTCTTGGGATGGAGCCCTGCATGGGGCTCTCTGCTTGGCAGGGAGCCTGCTTCTCCCTCTGCGTGCCTCTCTGCCTGCTTGTGCATCCTCCTTCTCTCTCTGACAAATAAATAAATAAAATCTTAAAAAAAAAAAAACAACAAAATAGTTCTTGACCAAAGAATCTAATGATATGGGAGGGGGAAGAATAGAATCAGTGAAAAGCCAAATAGAGCTTTTTGAAATGCAAATCATACTTACTGTCATTTAAAGCCACAAGATAAGCTCTTGGCCAGGGTGTGGAGAAAAAGGAGGCTCGTGCCCTGTTGGTGGGAACACAAGCAGGTGCAGCCACTGTGGGAAATAGTGTGGGAGATTCCTCAGAAAGTTTAAAAAAAATAGAATTAGCCATATGATCCAGCAATTGCATTACTGGGTATTTACTCAAAGAAGACAAAAACAAAAAAGACAAAAAAAATTCAAAAGCGTGTATGCACTCTTATGTTTACTGCAGCATTTTTTATTATAGCAAAGATAACGGAAGTCACCCCAGTGTCCGTTTATGGATAAGTGAATGGATAAATAAGACGTGTGGTGCACGTATGTGTCTGTGTATGTATAAGAGTAATTTATATATGATGGAATAGTATTCAGCCATAAAAAAGAATGGGATCTTGCCAATAGTGATGATGGAGGGACCCAGAGGGTATTATTCTAAATGAAATCAGTCAGACAGAGATGAATAACATATGATTTCACTTAACCGTAGACTCTGAAAAACAAATGAACAAATGAACAAAAAAAGCAGAAACAGGCGTGTGAATACAGAGAACAAACTGATGGTGGCCAGAGAGGAGGGGGCAAGGGTGGATTGGGAAAATCAGGGGAAGAGGAGTAGGAGGTTCAGGATTCTAGTTATGAAACAAGTCATGGGGATGGAAGGTGCAACATAGGGAATTAAAAAAAAAAACAGTTGAGATAAACTGAAATTATGCATCAATGAAATAAATAATAATAAACAGATAAAATAATAAAATAAAATAATAATAAAGAATTGGTGAGCTTGCAAACAGGAGGTTGCCACCAAGAATGAGCAGAGTGATTTACAAGAGGTGGGGAGTTGGCATTCGGAAATGGACAAGCATGGATGATAAAACACAGACCTGTGTCTGGGAGCTGTTCCCCAAGAAGAAAATGAGGACAAGGGGAGATTACGGTGGAACATTTCTTTTCTAGATTTGGAAAAAACAAACCAACCAACAAACACAAATCTATAGATTAAAGAAGCACAAAAAGTGTTGATTGAGGTCAACAGAAAGAAATCTATTGCACCATAGTAAGACTACAGATTATTAAGAAAAAAAGATAGAGAAATTTAAAATCAAGCAGAAGAAAAGCTCATTATGTATAAAAGAACAATTACAGGGGCACTGGGGTGGCTCAGTCAGTTGAGCATACAGCTCTTGGTTTTGGCTCAAGTCGTGATCTCAGGATCAGGAGATCGAGCCTTGCATCGGGCTCCGTGCTTAACAGGGAGTCTGCTTGGAATTCTCTCTCCCTCTCCATCTGCCCCTCCTGCTTGCTCGCTTACTCACTCACTCAAATAAATAAATAAGCCTTTAAAAAGAAAGAGCAATTTAATTGATAGCAGGGTATTTATTTGTCAACTCAAAGAGATGCCAGGCAGTAATGGGGGAATCCCTTTAAGTATTGAGTGAAAATATAAGAAACCTATATTCTCTGATGAATTAAACCATTATTCAAGAATAAAGGAAAGAGCGCCTGGGTGGTTCAGTTGGCTAAGCATCTGCCTTCGGCTCAGGTCATGATCTCGGGGTCCAGGGACCGAACCCCACATTGGATCCCCATACTCTGCAGGGAGCCTGCTTCTCCCTCTCTCTCTGCCTGCCACTTCCCCTGCTTATGCTCTCAACCTCTGTCAAATAAATAATAATCTTTAAAAACAAAAAAGTTAAAAAGTGAGAATAAAGGGAAAATAAAGATATCACTGGAAAAAATTTAGGAAAAATTACTACTCGCATATTCTCACTAAAAGAACTAGTTAAGATGTGTGAAACAGGTTACATCCAGAAGGAAGGAATGAAATGCAAGTTGCCAGATAGCATAAAAAATTTTGAGTGCCTTGTAGGGGATGAAAATTCTTTCTCTCTACCTGTCTGAGGTTCCTTGAGTGGCCCTTAAATTAAATTGACAGAAATAGGTCAACAGAGGAAAGCATGCACATTTTATTAAGACGTTTGGTGCATACACGTGGCAGAACTCAGTGATGAGTAACTCAAAGGCAGGTTGGAACTCGGGCTTAGGTAGCACTTTTTACAAAAGAAAAATTTTGAGGGAAGCGACAGGGCAAAGGAGAAGAAATTTGAGTTCCTAGGGTGGCAGATTCTGGGATGGCAGATATTTGGGGGAGCAAATGGAAAATAAGTCTCATTAGTCAGGTTTATATGTTGGTTCCCGAGGTACCTTCTAGCTGATAAGGCTTTAGAGTTGTGTCTGGTGGTTGACTTCTGTCCTTCCTGGTAGAGAGGGGAGGAGGACAGGTTTACAACCCGTGTCCTGCTTTTAGGCAAACAGGTGGAGGTGGAGGGCAGAGAGCTCTTCTGTACCTGCTTCTTCTTGATTGCCTGCAGCTCAAAATAATCCTTATGCTTAAGTGGCATTTTGGAGATGGCATATTCTGCTACTCTTTGGTGTAAAGAAATATAAATAAGCATTGAATTAAAACATTACCTTGGGGGAGTTTAAAGCAAAGTGAAACAGAATACCAGGAAATAATAGCATGGACCACCAGGAAGGTGATCAGTGTACCAAAGTCTTTGACTGTTTGAAAGAAGGATAAATAAAGGTGTTGCATTTTTGTGTAAAGTGTGCATGTTAGAAAAGCAAGAGGAACCACAAAAGGAATAGAATGTAGCACTTCGAAATTAGTAGAAGGATGAAAAGGGAAGTAAATAAAATAGAAAAAAGAAACACCCCAGAAGGGACCAAAAGAACAAAAAGCAAGCAAAGAGAACACAAAGTAAAGGTACAAGGTAAGGGCTCCAGATCTGCAGTTGTGAAAGATGGAATAAAGTCAACGGCTCATAGAGGATCACAGGGGGGGAAACATTCACACTGTTTCTGAGATTTGCCTACAGCATAGGACACAGGAAGGTTGGAAGTGAAGGACTAAAGAACCCCCAGGTAAAAATTGACACACTGAGCACAAACATCTCATTTTGTTCCCTTCCCAAATCTACTACAATGAAGGGATTTATTTTTTTCTTAAAAGACATGAACCCAGAAAGGCATGAAAAACAGGAGAGAAAACAAGATTTTGTGAGCTTTGAAAGCTGATGGTGGCCTGGTGACTGACTGGACAGGTCTCAGAAAGTGCACTCTGGAGCCAGAAGTAGGATATGCAGACAACCAATGTCATTTACCTCTTAAAAGGCTTGCAGGCTCAGGGGTGGTGGCCCCAGGGATCTCTAGAGTGGTGACTGGGTCTTTGGGGGCTGGGAGGTGATCCAAGTTAGAGTGTGTGTGTCCAGATCTAGCTTAGTACCACTTGGGAGGCTCAAACGCAGCCCTTATGCACAGCTCTGGAAGACCCTCATCTCTTTACCCCCAGACCCAGCAGAAAAGTCTGGAGCTTTATTCTCTGAAGGGTGTAAAGCAGAGAGTCCAGATGGCAGACACCATGGAAGGGTATCACACATTAAAGTGACTAATGCCTGCTGGGTGCTGAGATCTGCATCTCTCTCTCCCATCCCTGTGGCCCTCAGGTCTTTCCTCTCTAAGCCAGAAGAGCCTTCTCTGGCATATGGGACTAGCCCAATGGGGATGAACCGAAGCCATTGGAGGGGACAGTACTTGAGCAAATGGCCCAGCTCAACCATCCCATAGACAAGCTCGCAGCCAAAGAGCTTTACTCACATACTCCGAGCTCTTAAATATAGACAGGCGTCCAAGCTCACCAAACATTTGAAGGAAGTCTAAATTGAAGCCTACATACCAAAACAGTCGGGTAGGAGAAAAATGTAACTCGGGGGAAATAGATATTGCATGGGAAAGAGAAGAGTTCTGGAAAATGCATCACTTACGTTGTCAGTGCTAAGAGAAAATAATGTGTCTGTGAACGAAAGCCAGGATGTTTGTCAATTATATCTCAATGAAAAAAAGAAAGAACTAAAAAACCGAAGATGTCAATAAAAAAATGCTATGGGAAAGAAATACTCTGAGGTCGAGACAAGCTCATGGAAATAAAAGGTACATTTTCAGTGGCAGGTTTGGAAGATAAAGTCAAATTCAGAGAAGACAACCATGACATCAAAAATGGAAAAGTTGGAAGATTAAAGAACCAACCCAGGAAGCTGTAAGCCTGAATAACTTATATTTATATATAGTATATATAATATATAATATAATAATTATAATATAACTTATATTAAAATATAGTAATAATAATGTTGATAAAGTCATCCAGAAGAGTTTTCCAGAACTGAAGGATGTGAGTTCCTATATTGAAAGGGTCCATTGAGCTCCTGATACAATTGAGAAAAACTTGAACCTGTGCCCGGGCTCACCACTAGTGAAGACTAGTGAAATGTACTAGTGAAATGAGATTTTACAACCTTCTAGAGGAAAAAAATGGCCACAGTAGAAAGGCTCAGAAATCTGAATGCTTCTAGATTGTCAAACATAACTATGGAAATGAGGAGATTACTGTGGAATGCCTTTAAATTCTGAAGAAATATCATGCTTAGCTTAGAATTCTATATCCTGCCTAGCTATC